GGTTGCATGAACCCCGAAAGGCTTTGGTGCGGAGGTGGGTTGAACTCCGAAGTGTAAGATGGTGGTGGTGGTGGTTCTTGTCTATGTCTGAAATCCAAACCATCTTGGTACAACATGGGTATAGGCGGATCCTGTTTGGGTTCTTTTGGATTGTAGGGTGGTGATGGCTCTTGTCGCTCGAGTCTTGAGCTACTATTTGGGGGTGGGGGTGGTTCTTGCCTGAATCGTGAACGGTTTTGGGTCAAGTATGGATCATATTTAGAATCTGGATTCTGGGGCGGCTCTTGTCCGCGATCATGTTTGGAAGTTGGATTGCGTGGAGCCGGTGGTGGTGGCATTGGCTCTTGCCTCTCAAGTCTTGAACTACTACTACTCAGGGGCGGAGGAGGTTCTTGTTTGATCCAAGAACAACTTCGGGTCAAATTCGAATCACATTTCAAGTCTGAATCGTAGGGTGGTTCGCGTCCATGGTCATGTTTGAATGTTTGGTTGCGGGGTGGAAACGGTGGTGGTGGTGCTTCTTGGCGGGTTCTTGAACTATCACGAGGCGGAGATGGAGACTCATATCTAAACCTTGAACTGTTGTTTGGCCGTGGCGGCGGTTCGTATACGAGTCTTGAACCGTTATTCTGCGGAGGCGGCGGCGGCTCAAATTGGAACCCTAGATCGGCGGGAGGCGGTTGGCGTCTGAACCCCATACTGCCGGAGGGGTGATAACGGCTCCATTGAGGCGGTCCATCACCATAACCATAACCGTAATAGGCCGATGGATAATGGTGCACTCTTTGATGAACATCTTTCATATCATTTGAAGGTCTTCTGGTCATCTTTGGGGCAGCTTCTGGGGATGGGTTTTCCTCTGGTGGTTGATTAATCTCGTGTGGCGACGGCGGCGGAGTATTTTTGGGTGGCTCTTCTGTAGGAGGCTTAATAGGCTCGGCGGTGGACGGTGGTGCTCCACCACCGCCCTCCTCCTCAGGGGGTTGCTCCTCCGGTGGCTGAGATGGTTCCTCGTCTGGTAGCTCTGTATGGGAACATATAATTGCACTTTTTCTTATCTTCTTAATTGCCTTCACTATCAATCCAGGGTCTGCATTTCCAATTAAGGTAAGTTTTTGTCCAGGAACATCAATGTAGAGCTCAGAGATTCCTGCAAAAAATAGTAAAAATGTTTAACAACTTACCCAAACCACAACAATGAACACAGTAAAATATCATAAAAAGTTAAACAACTTACCCAAACCTCGACAATAAACATACTAAAATATCATAAAAAAGTTGGATCTTAAGAAAGCGTGTACGCAGATCTTATCCCTACCATGCACAGGCGATGCCACAACTTACCCAAAACCGAAAAGCTGTATTGCTTAGGGGTTTTAAAAGGGATGATTTATTACCAATTTATTCATTTTTCTGGTTTTTTTTTAAGGTTTTAATCACCATAATATATACAGTACCATATTTATATAAGGAAAAAAATGGAAAGTTTAATATGAATTTTTGTTAAGAATGGCTGTTAGCTTAACTTAATTCAAAAGAGCTCAAAAGATATAAATCCACACTAATTAAGAACTGACCATGAACTCCATGCAAGGCCTTCTTGATTTTCTGAACGCATCCATTACAGTCCATCCGGACCTGTACCTCTGTGACCCGATTCCCCTGCATTCTCTGCATCCACACAAAATTTGTGTCACATTAATTACAATTATATATATATATATATATATATCACATATATATAGATTTCTCAAGAAACATATGATGATGATGATGATGATATACCTGTGATTCTGGAGGCATGAAGAGAGAGGAGGAAATATATTATGAAGTGGAGTTCATAGAGAGATGAATACAATAATAGACAAAGAGAGGAAGAAGGGTATGGCGTGTTTGTATAGGCCTTGTTGGGTGGGAATAATTTAGTTAAATGGCATCTTTTTGATGAAGAAGTTTTTTTTTTTTTTAAAGCAAGGGGTGGTGAAAGTAGAGGGGGGAAGAAAGAATCTGCTTTTAATTTAGGAGAAGTTAAAAGAGCTTTCAATTCATTGTTGAAGATGTGAGGGAGGGTACCACACTCATATTAGTCATATCTCATCTTAGAGGGGCAAGCAAGGGGAAGGAATATTTATGTCTCTCTCTTCTTGGTTGATTTAGTATCATCGATTATTTAAGATGATTAACTTTACTTGAGATCAGAAGATGGTTTTTATTGATGTTGGTAGAGTGTGGAGGTGGGGAGTGCATACTCATTTGACGATATTATACATTCTTTAGCAAGGTTCGGGGACGGTGGCTCCCAAGGGTGGTAGCCTCTGACGGGTTCATTATGAAATATTAATGTATTTTAGTATTTAAACATTGTGTTAACTGCCATCGGCCTTTACGAAAAGGTGCTTAGCATTTGGATTCTCGATGCATTAGCGTTAGGTATGACACGGTGATGCAGTAGTCCAACACAAAATTCAAGACAAAAGAGGAGAAGAAGTTGTTAGAGTATATAAAAAATCTTTCTTGGGTCACAACCGCAAGCTTGAGCTTCTGGTTGAGTTGGTTTCTTGATATGATATCAGAGTTTTCTTGCACGGATTCGAAATTCACCGCCAACCAATTTAAAAAAAATTAAGATTTTACGTTCAAGGCTCAGAGAAATCACGCCTGGCCACACGTCTCAAGAAAGCAAGATCTTCTTACACTATGTTTGGTTCAAGGAATTCAAATGAGAAAAGAAAAGAAAATGAAGTGAAAAACAAGTTTTCTTGTTTGGTTAGAAAGGAAAAGTGGAACGAAAAGAGAATGAGAAGGCAAAATGTACGGGAAAACCGAATTCCTCCCATTTTGGTGAGAAAAATGAAAGAAAACTATTTTCTTTTCTTTTCCTTCAAAATTCCTTGAACCAAACATAGTGTTAGTGTTTCCAAAGTGATAGACCAGAAGCCCTTGCACTTTAGTGTGCTTCAACAAAGCTTGATCTTAGTCTATATAAGGTTCGAAACAAGGATAAATAGTAGTAGTAGGTGATTAAAGGTGACCCAACACTTTAGACAACAAATAAATTTAGGTTTAGATCTTTAGAATTTGACACTGACCCTAGATATACACAAAAAAAAAAATAATTTGCTTGTGTTCACATTTGTATTTTTGGCCATGTGTCTCAATGGAGCAAGATCATGCTAGTGTATAAACGTACTTAAAAATAATTTCAATTAAAGTGTCATTTTTTATTAGTAAAAGAATGTTATAAATTTTTAAAAATACTCTCTCCGCCATAGAGTATTTGTCCACTTTTAATTTTTTTTGGTCAAAATTGGTGAACTCTGAATCTAAATTAACTAAAAATGATACTAGATATTGATAAAAAAATAATTTTATTAAATTTATTATATAAAATCCTTTCAAAATATTATTTTATCTAATTAATATACAATATATATTTTATTTAATTATAAGTCAAAGGTTACAAATGCTTAAGTGAAAAAAGTTGAATGGGACAAATACTCTAGGACGGAGGTAGTAATTTTTAAATTTGTACTCCATATATTTTATTTTAGTTTTTAAAAAGAATTTTAAAATAAATTAAATTAAAATTAAGTTCAACATTAAAACTATTTTGACCCTTTCTTATTTTTTTTATTACACTGCATAATTCTTATCGAGTGTGACTTGCATTAAAAGAAGTTAGATATATATTCGAATTCTTCATCCAAAGAAAAGAAAAATCCACGAGAAATCCCCAAATTCCATTCTCTCGGAACCCTAAATCGGTCTATTTCTGATCGGAGTCGAGGATCCAATGGAAATTTCTTTGTTTTCCGATACGATGACGACGGTTTCTTCGACACACAGCGTAGTATTTTCGAAATCCCTTTTGAATCGCCACCATAGTTTCACCTCAAACAACCTCATTTCGCTCTCCGACGATCAACAGTCGCCGCCGTCCTCCACTTCCATCTTCGTTCAAATTTCTGCGGCGGTGTGCCCTACGGACGTCGTGGCTCCGCCTCCAGTGAGATCGAACCGGATCAAAGCGGCGCCTCGGAGGCTCGCCCGGAAAGCAAGACGCGTCAGGCGGAAATTGGCGGGAGGCGGCGGGGGAGGTGAGTTCGAGCATGTCTTTGACGGAGGGGACGGCGGCGGATCCTTTGGCGGTGGGAACAGCTGGGGCGGCAGAGGTGGCGGCGGAGGCATGGGGTGGAANGTCCTCCACTTCCATCTTCGTTCAAATTTCTGCGGCGGTGTGCCCTACGGACGTCGTGGCTCCGCCTCCAGTGAGATCGAACCGGATCAAAGCGGCGCCTCGGAGGCTCGCCCGGAAAGCAAGACGCGTCAGGCGGAAATTGGCGGGAGGCGGCGGGGGAGGTGAGTTCGAGCATGTCTTTGACGGAGGGGACGGCGGCGGATCCTTTGGCGGTGGGAACAGCTGGGGCGGCAGAGGTGGCGGCGGAGGCATGGGGTGGAATTTCAACGGATTCGGCGGGTCGAATTGGGGGGAAGAACCCTCATTCAATTCCTCCTCCGATCCGGCATTTGATTTCGTCTACAAGGTATTGAGTTGGATAATGTTCTCCAATTGCTTGCATTTCGCCTTCACGAAGGTGATCAAAACCGTGGTGGCCGATGGCAATCCGGCGAGAGAGAAGGTTCCGGTGACACTAACGGAAGTCTGCTGAACCGGTAAATCCTCCACTCCATCGGATTATTCTTAATCTCCTTCATTATGCATTTCAATGTAAATAATGTACATATATTCTTCTCAGTTCTATGCAATTCGGATTGGCTAATCAATTTGGGATAATTTAAATGCAAAAGTTTATGAATCAAAACATGCATGTTTTACAAAGTTGGGGATTTAGGTAAGTTTTGATTTTTTTTGAAGAAATTAGAGCAAGCAACATTTTGGAATTTGGATACAGCTGCACATTTTATCAATCAGTTCTTGTACAGAGAAACACAAAGTTTGTTTAATCTAGGCAAATGTTTTATGCTGTGTTTTCTCTAAAGGGTTTCTTTTTATCTTTTAAATCCTCTCACACCAAACAAGTATGAATGTATCTAATCAATAGATATATAGCCAATTATGGGGCTGCAACGAACTTAGGGCCTGCTTGGTGAGTGCACTGGGATTGATATGATATTGATTCTGAAATGTAGAAGAAATGATATGCATTTTGAATTTTGGAATTACAATGGGTGGCTGCTCTAGTGGTCGGTAACGGTTGAGGGAGATGTCGAAATCCCAAGATTGATATCTGCCAAATTTGGGAGACATCAGAAACGCATACTTTGTGCGCTCATAAACGATTCCTTAGGGGTGTTGACGAGACGAGTTTGACAGTGTGAAATCAAGTTCGGCTTGATTCGGTTACAGTGAGTTAGTGGGGTATTCGTGTTTGAGCTTGAATCTCGTCGAGCTCAAAATATGAAGGCTTGATTCGGTTATAGTGAATTAGTGGTATTCGGGTTTGAGCTTGAATCTTGTCGAGCTCAAAGTATGAAGCACGAGCTTGACTTGACACATGTTCGTTGCCCTATTCGAGTGCTCAACCGCTCAGTCCAGGTGTAGTCCAGATAATTGAGTTTAGAATTTTAGACTATATTTGGAGCTTGAGTTGACACATGTATATTGCTCTATTCGAGTGCTCACTGGGCTCTTTTTAGATGTTCGAGTTTAGAATCTCAGACCATATTTTTTTCTGTACAAAAAAAAGAAAGGAAAAGAAAGGTATACCAAATGAGTCCGTAGCGGTGCCAACAAGACGAGTTTGAACACCATGAGTTCAAGTTCAGCTTCATTCAGTTACTGTGAAAAGCGACCGAGCACTCGAATGGACCTTGTTTTATTAGACGAAAAAAGTAAACCTAAAATTTTAAACTCAAATATCTGAATAGTTATTGAGCACTCGAATAAAATACCTTCTTTTTTGAAATTTTAGGTTTACTTTTTTCGTCTAATAAAACAAGGTCCATTCGAGTGCTCGGTCGCTTTTCAGATGTTTACGTTTAAAATTTTAGATTTTTTGTAGAATAGAAAAGATCTATTCATGCTCAATCATTTTTTCAGATGTTTGAATTTAATATGGTAGACCATTTTTTGTACATTAGTTGCTTTTCAAATGTTTTTGTTTAGAATTTCAAAAAAGAAGGTATTTTATTCGAGTGCTCAATAACTATTCAGATATTTGAGTTTAAAATTTTAGGTTTACTTTTTTCGTCTAATAAAACAAGGTCCATTCGAGTGCTCGGTCGCTTTTCAGATGTTTACGTTTAAAATTTTAGATTTTTTTTGCAGAATAGAAAAGATCTATTCATGCTCAATCATTTTTTCAGATGTTTGAATTTAGAATGGTAGACCATTTTTTTTGTACATTAGTTGCTTTTCAAATGTTTTTGTTTAGAATTTCAAAAAAGAAGGTATTTTATTCGAGTGCTCAATAACTATTCAGATATTTGAGTTTAAAATTTTAGGTTTACTTTTTCCGTCTAATAAAACAAGGTCCATTCGAGTGCTCGGTCGCTTTTCAGATGTTTACTTTTAAAATTTTAGATTTTTTTTGTAGAATAGAAAAGATCTATTCATGCTCAATCATTTTTTCAGATGTTTGAATTTAGAATGGTAGACCATTTTTTTTGTACATTAGTTGCTTTTCAAATGTTTTTGTTTAGAATTTCAAAAAAGTAGGTATTTTAGAATACCTCATTCTCCTCTCTCTTCTCTTCCCCCCTTCAATAACTATTCAGATATTTGAGTTTAAAATTTTAGGTTTACTTTTTCCGTCTAATAAAACAAGGTCCATTCGAGTGCTCGGTCGCTTTTCAGATGTTTACGTTTAAAATTTTAGATTTTTTTTGTAGAATAGAAAAGATCTATTCATGCTTAATCATTTTTTCAGATGTTTGAATTTAGAATGGTAAACCATTTTTTTTGTACATTAGTTGCTTTTCAAATGTTTTTGTTTAGAATTTCAAAAAAGTAGGTATTTTAGAATACCTCATTCTCCTCTCTCTTCTCTTCCCCCCGTCATACAAGCTTCGAACTCTTGACCTAGTAATTTGAAAAATCTCTATCAAACCAACTAAGCCAAAGAGGAGCTGGTGTTCATATTGCGCATGGTTTGTTTCTATTCTAATATTTCAATGATTTCATTGGAGCTAATTTCTATCGTGAGGAAATCATGGAAAAATAAAAATTTGAAATAATTTATAAACTTTAGTCTCAAGTATAACAACAACAACAATAATAACAATAACAATAAATACATGAAAAATGTATTATTTTCAGACTCATTATTTGGGAGTAAAAAAATTAAAGAAAATGGAAATAGCTGGAAAACTAGAAAAAAATTAGAAAAAATAGAAAAAACTAAAAGAAATTAGAAAGAACTGAAAGTTACTCCGTAAAAGTTTAAATTCTAAAGAATAAGAGAATAAGCTCTGAAAAAAGAAAGTTTATTCGAGTATTAAATCATTTACTCCCTCCGTCCTATAATGATCTTCCCAGAGCACTATTCCAACTTCACGGGAATTTATATTTATTTGTGTTTTTTCATGGCCTATATGATAAAATAAAATATTCTTATCACCACTTGTTTTGTTGAACTTTTGGTGTAGTTTTTAAATATGTATGTTTTATTTTTTATTTCTATACCAATATTTAAATAAAATAGATTGAAAAAACTTGGGATTTTTCTTCATTTTGCGAACCGGGAAGATCATTATAGGACGGAGGGAGTACTTTTTAGATGTTTAAAATTTGAATTTTAGACCTTTTTTTGTACAACAAAAAGAGAAGGTCTTTTAGACCTTATAAGTAATTAGTGATAGGTTCTATGAAGAGATTACCAAAGTTAATCTGTCACATTTAGTTTGCGACGAAAGGAGCATTAGATACGAAAACCATTGAGTAAATACAAGTATGTCTTCATACTAGCGACCCTAACTGTATCGTGAAAGTTCAAAAATAGATTCGCTACCCCAAAATGGTCACTCTGATCAAGCTCGTGTTTAGTATTGTCGGTTCAGATAACGAATATTTAAATTTGACAACTAATTTTTTATACAAAAAAAATCCGACAAAAATTGTACTCCCTTTGTTTCGAAAGAAAAAAAAAAACACTTTCTTTATTGTTTGTCTCAAAATAAACATTACACTTCTCTCATTTCCTTTTAAAAAAATAAATATGGTAAAAAAACATTTTTCTTCATTGAATAACTTTTAATCAATTTTTTTAATATTTTTATGAAACTCCATGCAATAAAAGTGTACACTTCTTTACAGGATCGATGTGTTACTCTTTATATTGCCATATTTATAATGTAAAACATTTTTATAATTTACACTCCCTCTTTCTATTTATAATCTTTCATATATTATTGTAAAACATACGTATTTTTCTATAATAAAAGAATTAATTTACTCATTTTATAAAACTGTTAATGTACTCCTTAATTTTTAAATACAAGCATGTGATTAAGTTTTTTTAACTTCACATCAATTTAAATGAATTAAATTGAAACTAACTTCATCCAAATATCATAAATCGAAAAGGGAAAGATTAAAGGGGTGTGAATTTTATTCCAAATAAGTTCTGACTAAATGTATTTTAAAGAAAAATTAAGGCTCCGTTTGGTACACGAAATTCAAGTCATGGAATTGGAATTGGAGACTTCAATTCCAATTTTGCTGTTTGATAACACAAAAATATGTGGATATAAAATTGGTAGTGCAAAAAATGAGTTGAAAATGGAGAATTCAATTCCATCAAATTCAGTTTTAGGCCCCGTTTGGTACACGGAATTCAAACTATGGAATTGGAGTTGAGGACTTCAATTCCAATTCTCGTGTTTGGTAGCACAAAAATTATGTGGATTTGGAATTGGTAGTGCAAAAAATGAATTAGAATTGGTGAATTCAATTCTATGGAATTAAATCCCATGGAATTTTAATTCCAATTCGATTCCAATTCCATCAATTCCGTGTACCAAACGGACCCTTATAGAATTCCAATTTCAATTCAATTCTAATTCCGCCAATTCCGTGTATCAAACGGGCCCTAAAGGTCAAAACTTATTAGCACAATTCTTGCCATATTTCTCTTTCTCGTGTAGTTTTCTTTTGTTCAAACACATTCAAACTAGTCTCTAATGTTTTCAAGAAAGAAAATGACATAAAAGCTACAAAGAGAACAAACTTACAGTCACAATATGGTGCATCTGTTTATGCCGAGAGATTCAAAGATCCTTCTGAACTTGGACACGAAACCCCCGCGAGGCGGAAGTGGGTCCCTCTGGTCAATGCAATCTTCAGTCGCAAGCAAGCGGCGTCCGGTTTCGTCGCCGGATTTGTGACTCTCAGTAGCCACCACATCTCCGCCACCGGCGATTTCTCCAGGCTTCTTGTCGAACAACCCTTTGAACTGCTGACGAGCTCTCTTCTCTACTTCCTGCTCATAATATATTTGCGTTTATGCGTAGGGCCCCCAACATTTGGGGGTTGCACAAAAACGAACAGAAAGTTAATAATTGTCTGTGCATGTCTGTGCAAAGCTTAGGGTCATGAAAACCCATAAACATTGTGGTGACCCTAGCTTTATTCTTATGTAAATGAACCAATTGAACCACAAGCTCGCGGTTGTAGACCCTGAAAAGGTTTTATATTCTAACACGCCTCCTCCCAGTATGCGACATTTGTTTTTGCTCGAGTCTTGCGCGTGAACATTAAAAACTGGGTGGCAGTAAAGTTCAAACTAATGACCTTTCCAACTCTCTAAGACTCTAAAACCATGTCAAGGAACAACCTCGAGCCCTATAAGCCTCATTTTGAGTTCTAAACCCATGACCCGAACGGGTCCTTGAGAGTAGCCGTATAGTAGTAATAAAAGAGAAGATAAAAGCATTGCAGACGATAATGTAACTTGCCTGCTCTTCCTTTTTAAGTTTTGCCAGAGCTGCCTTTACGGTTGACTCGACTGACTTGTCGATGCTTATCATCTAGAAAGGATTCATGGGAAATTCAATTTAAGACATTGTAAAGGATCAACTTGATGTTTTGCTCTCATAAAAATGGCACCGTAGAATATACCTTGTTAAAGTCATCCCTTGCTTCTTGAAAATCTCCAGCTTCCATGTGAGCCATTCCCCGTCTATAAAATGCTTTGACATGTACAGGATTTGCATCTAACACCTGAGTCCGAAACATCAATCGATATTCCTATGGAGAGAGAGAGAGAGAGAGAGAGAGAGATTACCTTGTTACATGTCTCTATGGACTTTTTGTGCTCTCCCAACTTCAGATAGCAGGCAGCAACATTAAGATGCAACAAGTTCTATGTACAGAAACAGCACATCACAGACGAAATAATGAGCTCAGGAAAAAAAAAAGCATAAATTGTGACAAGCAAATACACTATGTTTGGTTCGAGGAATTAAGGAGGAAAGGAAAATAAAAATGTTTATCTTGTTCTCCTTGCCAAAATGGAAGGAAATTTGGTTTCCCTCTTCTTCATTTTTTTTCTATGATTTTCTTTTCCTTCCACTATTCTTTTCTTTTTCTCTCTAACCAAACTTTTCCATATCATATTCTTTTCTTTTCCCTTTATAGTTCCTTGAACCAAACATAGTGATAGGGGCATTGCAGCACCAGGCCTTTATTCTTTATTAACTAGCTAATAGATATGTGTACAAACCAAGGAAATTTTTGAAATATTACTGTTAAATGATATACCCTGGTTTCTGAGAATTCCTTTCCCTCTTCGTCGTCTTGAGGATGAACGTGATTAAATTCGCGAAGAACCTTTAAAAAATGTAAAAAAAAAAAAAACAAAATCCAACACAATGGAATTTCAACTGGCAGGTTGTGAACAAAAGTATTTGCAACTCATCAGACGCCAACAAACATAGAAATTAGAGTACATGCCTTATCATACTTTGCCTTTGCAAGCTCAAACTTCCCTTCACCAAAAAGCCTGTTTCCCTATAAAAGAAATGATAATGGATGGGTGTTTTTTTTAAATTATTGTTGCGGGGAACTAATCGAACCATCTCGGTTGCCAATAAGACACAATAAGACAAAAGTTGAGAGCTCAAAATGTTGTGGCATGTGATTCCCAAAACATTCGTCAGTCACACACACACACACACACACATACCGTGCCTCTGATCTTCTTAACATCATCCATTATTTCCCTAAAACCAAGGCCAGTCCAGTCCTGTAATAATTATTGTAATTGGCATGAACTAGAAGTGCCGTTAGACTGCGCTAATCAAACAGAATAAAGAACTTTAGCCCCTTGTTTTGTTCAAAAGAGGGGAGGGGGGCGGAAAATGGAGGTTGATAAAACATTATGTTCAAAGAGGGAGAGGCAGGGAAGTAACTAGAATTTTAGAAAAATATGTATTAAATAAATTGAATTTGATAAATGTTGTGGAGTATATTGCAATTTAAAAATATATAAATATACTTCAAAATAGAATAAATTCTATAAATGGTCCCTTATAAAAGGGCGTTTTCTATAAATAGTCTCCAATTCTACGAAATTACATTTGTGGTCCTTAATATTTTGACCCAAATATTGTTTTTTGCATATAGTCCTCAAAGGGCTGATTATGGAATAGTTCTCAAATATCGAGGAGCACAAATGTAATTTCTTAGAATTGATAACTATTTATGGAAAACACCTTGTTATAAAGGACCATTTGTAGAATTTACTCTTGAAAGTACTATACTCCGTATTCCGTAATATATAACAATTTTGATATATAAATGAGAGAAATTTGTGGTTCCCTTGGCGCCTAATTAGATGTTAAGTGTCAGTTTCATCACCTTTGGTGTGTTAAAATCTAGAAGCTCAATCTCCCATTGGACATGGGCACCTTCAGGAACATTAGCAGGCCTAATTACACATTTTAGAAAAAAATCAATTAACTCTCAGTACAAATTTTAAAAACATAAAGTTGTCAAATAATGTGATGCTCAAACAACCTTTTGAATTTATCATAGGCATAATCAGGAGGGCATGTGACAAGAGCTATCTCCCCAGGCACCATTAGACGGACACACATTTCGAATCCTTCAGGAACCTGATACAAAAAAAAGCAATTTCTGAATCATTTGGGAGCAGGTTTTGTATATAATAGAGAATCAAAACAAACCGCACACACGATGCGAAACTCAGAGATTTTAGGATCCCAACGGACTTACAAGACCCTCTCCAGAACTGAATTCCAGAGGCTGGCCATTGTTGTCAAGCTTAGTATCATAGAAGACCGTTTTCTCATCATTGAGAAGCATACCCTTGTAGTGGACGCGCAAAAAACTGTCCTGGAGAGGGCAGTCCATAGGAAACTCACCTAATAATGAGAGAACAACCAAATCACTAATATATTAACACCTGGCTTACTGTTGAGATCAATAGAGTAATAAAAAGAATCACATAAACATGATCCGATTATCCAAATAAGAAGTATAGGGTGCAAAATAAAAAATCATAAAAAAGATTGGCTCGGTTTCAAGGGACACCTCTTCCATCGCGAATACGGCGTTTGATTAGGCGTCCATCTCCAAGCACATCTCGTACCTGCACACAATCCAAGGCAACTAAGATTAGTCTCTTTTTTTTGTGGGAGGGGGGGTGGGGGGTTAGAAAGAGATAATGGTTTGTACTCCCTCCTCCTGCAATGGAAGATACATATGGGTTTGGGGATCTTCTAAGAAAATAAAAGTGATGTTAATTACTCTATACTTTACAAGTTTTATCATTTGAAAGATGAGAAGAAAAGTGATGCCCGTCAAGTAAAGAGTTGAAATGACAGATGAAAGGATAAGTTGCAGAAAGTACACATTGTTGTTTAAATTAAGACACTGAGCATTATCTTGGGTAAGACAGAAAAACGAAGTATATATTGTAAAAAAGGGACAAAATTAGAAATTGGATAAATATGGCAACCAAATCAGAAATTGGATAACTATGGCAAGCAGAAGGCACCAAATCATTTAGGCCATTTGGTGTTCAGAAAATGGATATAACTGTGGCAACCAAGAATTCTACTTTCTCTATTTAAGAGTTGAAGAGATTATTATATTAGCATTAGCCTAGTTAGGAGACTGCTACAAGATTGAACTTGAAATAGCCATTTTAAATTACTCATATGAAATAGGAAGTACCAACCTGAATGAAGTGGACAAGCTCAATCTCAAAAATAATTTCCTCGAAGCCTTCTGTTGTAGGTATAAGAGGAGACTGATTCAAGTATTGATGTGTAACATAAACCACTGCTTTCTCTCCCAGTGACATTGATCCTATTCCCATTTCTAGACCTACTGGGACCTAATCTTGACAATCCAAAATAAAACCATGGTAAGCACTCATATTTCATAGTAATAAGAATAGAGGCAATACTGTACAGTTTATATTCATATTTCATCCCATGATAAAGAACAATGATAGGGTTTTAGACAACCATGCAAGCAGTAAATCTTCCAACAGAAGGGCAAAAAAATAACCAAATAACTAAACTTAGGGATGTAGGAAAGAAACATGGATAAAATTTTTAACAAAAAACAAGGGAATACATAACTGACCTCAGATTTACCAAATGTAAAGGAATATGGTTCATCCCGAGTATGAGACAGAATCACTCTTCCATCACCGGACTTTGCCGAAATCCTAAAAACATTTGGGAAATCATATTTTACCAAATATAAATGGCAGAAAGCACGTAAAGCATAGATGCCCAAAGCATAAACACGGTCCGACACAAATGATAAGGTCCAACAAAAACAAGTACACGTCTTTACCTGGCTTTCACTTCATAAGGCTCCCGAGGTGATTCCCAACTCTTCCCTTCTTCCAGAACCTGCCTCAAAAAGTGAAAATGAAAGTTAACTAAACAACTAAGTTATCATTAAAATACACTATATTTCCAGCACTAAACACAGTGAAAAATAACTTATGTGTCATCACTATACAACACTTCAAATTTCATATTCAAGAGTTTCTTTTAAGCATGCGACAAAGTTACTCCACAACCATTCCTTAACACCCACCACCCAAAAAAAAGCTAAGAAAACAATAATGTCCATAAATATATACTAAGGCACACTTATAATAATGGAAGGGGAACACAAGCACACACATCACACTCACAGCCAAAAACATCCCAATAGGCAATAACTTCTTTGGTTCAAAATAACTTCGTGAAGAATAAAAAACCAAACCAAACATACCCACGATGTCCCACTCAGAAGTAAGGCCTAGGGAGTGTGAAATGCACACAAACCTTACCTATATGGCTACACCTTAAACCAAGAAGGATCCAAGGATATACAAATCAAAAATAGAAAATTTAAGAGGGCAAGTGTTAATGAGAAATGTAATCAACCAGCAATCTGGTCATGTCGTCAATACCTTCTTCAAAACTCCCAGATCAGAACTGATAACCTGAAGAATGAATAAATGGGAAAAATAGAAAACATAAGGGTGAACCCAAACAGTAGATAACATGGAAATACACACACCCACACACAGACTATATGAGACCCCAAAAGAAGTCCCCTTAACATTTTAATTTTTTGATAAGAGTTATCACACAACTGGTATAGAACATCAATCCTAACATATTTAAATTAATTTGTTGGTTTAACTAAATTTGTGGCTAAGCAATATGATAGGCATATATTCCTAGCTATGTAGAAGGAAAATAATCAACATCATAGTAAAACAGATGCTATTTCTGTTAGACCATTGATGCATTGTTTTACTTCCCAAAACTTCATAAGAAGTAAGAAGCAAAGGAAGTTTAATTTCCATTTTAATTTACTCCATTATTTACCCGAAGTTCAAACATTGTCAAAATGATTCTTTTAGTCCATTATTTACAACTTTCATGTAACACGTACAAACAATGGATTAGCCTAAAAAGCATTTAACGGCCAATTTGTAGTTCCACGAAACATGGTTTACAATAATAACATAAAACACTTCATAACTGTTAACCAGTGCAGAAAATCAAACATAAAAGAGCAGGAAAAGAATAAATACACAAAAACAATGATCTTTCCTTGACTTTAGAGAATTCTATCAGTTCAATCTCAAAATGAAGTTCAACATCCTTTGGAAAGCTGTCAGAAACTGAAACTGGACAATCTTCCTCAATGTAGTGCATTTCTGGTTTCATTTTGAACTGAAACTCAGATAATAAAAAATGACATTAGTAAACCACTTCGGTGTGCATAATGAAATTTTGTTTCATGTAACAAATATTACATTCTATAATCGCAAAATTTTGGCAAAGAAAAAACAGTCTCTATGATTACCACTGCAACTTCACCCTTCAACATTGTGGGAATTCCTTCGAGCAACCCGAGAATAATCTTGCTCTTCCCCAAAACATGTCTTGTTGGGATACCCTTGCCTTTGTAATCACAATAAAGAATAACAGAGGCATTTCAATTCAATGACACTATATGAGAGATAATGTGGAAATGAGGTTATAGCAATTTAAGAGTAGTAAAGGCATTATGTATACTTTACATGTATAATTTTACTATAAGAATAGGGAGGTTCTAAAATTTACTGGGATTGCAAACTAACCTCCAAGCTCTGATCGTGTCGACTCGACTGTAACTCCATCCACTGTTCGAATTGTGCAATGATATATTACCTATGCAATTCAATCACAGCTAAACTAAGGTTTGTCAAAGAAATAGCAGTAACAAGCATCACCACCAGTGACTTATCATCTAAAATCACTAGGTGCAATAGAGCAACTTAATGTAAACAAATGAATAGTCTTAAGTACATGATTACATGTTTTAAGCATGAGAAACCAAATAATGAACCTGATCACCCTCAGTAGGTCCTGATTCGCCGCCACCAGGCCTGACCACAGCTTTCATCAAACTTCCTGGCACAATCTTTTTTCTTCTGTAAAAGTATATTATCCAGATAAGTAGCATTAAATGTTAAAATTTTCTCAGACAATATCAAAATGCTGAAGATGAATAACCTTTTCTCATCCTCAGAAGGAGGTTTCTTCTTTTTGGATTGGTAATCTTGAACATACTCTTCATCTATTGCCATCTCCCGGAGCTACTGAGAAAAAATGACAAATTCAGAGCTCAGATTGAGTTCAAGCCTTCAAGGAATGTAAAGTTAAATAAATATATGCTGAAGCCAAGTAAAGTTTAATTTCATGACATAATTATCCGAGCTCATCCTGGAAATTGAAGCAAGCAAATCAACTAAAAGATAAAATATGGGGCTTCAGTTAAGGGATTTTGCATGAAGCTTATTTTATAGATGTAATCATAAAAATCCTGACTGCATGTGCTGAGTTATATAATTCAACGGGTGGTATGGAAAGTCTTGTTTAGATGAAGCTATAACAGCCGTAACCTAAGCCAATTAGTCAAAGCTAACAGTCCAAATTACCTAGTCCAATCTGCAATCTGAGGGCTGCCTTCTTTGACAACCTAAAATCAAAGTGTTCTGAAGCACTTTCTTCTACCTCTGAATGGTTCGCTTCAAGATCCCTACTTTTTACCTTGATTTTAAATTTATTAGATCTTTAAGTTTACCTTGTAAAATCAACAATGAAAAGGTACATATTATGATCTCAAATAGCATGAAAGGGGAATGATTCCCATCATCAAACATCAGCAACTTCAATAATACTAAATCTTTGCATTTACCTCATGCCATCTTTACATTTATGCCAATTCAAGAGAGAGAAAAAATGAAGTTTTGAACCATAATTTTCCCTATATCTTCTTGATGCACCTAAGATCCCATCACAGATCCAAGTTCTTCTGTTTTTGGTAGGTGTGCATTCATTTCACTCTTTGATTTATTTACTCCCTCCGTCCCACACTGGATTACACTCTTTACTATCCAAAAATCACACAAACTTTTGCTTATTTGTGCATTTTCATTTATTCCGGAGTATTTAATAAAATAAAATATTTTTGTCATTCTTGTTTTGTAAAACTTCTGATGTACTTTTAAAATATGCAAGTTTTATTTTTGGAAAAATTACCCAAAATAATCCCAACTTTACCCGGTCTTTAAAAAATAATCTCACCTTTCACTGTGATGCATAATAATCCCAACTTTATTGAAATTTGTCAGTTTTGGGTCGCCGTTAAGTTTCTAACGGAGGGTTAACGGAAATGCCCATTTTAGGCAACAAAATGAAAGTTGGGATTATTTTTGATGAATTTTTGTTTTTTAATTTTTTTGAATTTTTTATTTAAATTTTTTGAATTACTTTCAACCTCCATTTCTTTTTCTTTTTTTTAAAGATTATTCTTACCTTAGAAAAAAAATAGATATAAAAAATAATAAAAATGAGAAAAATAACTAAAACCATACAAAATTAATCAAATAAATAATGTAATCAATAGAGAAACTGGTAAGAAATAAAATAAATATATACGGAGTGGTGGGTTTTAACATTTTACACGTTATATGGAGTCTTAATGTACTACTTATTTTTTAAAAGAACAAGCCGTCCGGTAAAGTTGGAATTATTGTACATAATTTTTTCTAAAAAATAAGAAGTGATATGTTAATACTTTGTATAATGCGTAAAATATTAAAACCCACCCGTGTATTTTTATTTTACTTTTACCAATTTCAAGTTAGTTTCCATTGATTACCTTATTTATTTTATTACTACGTATTTTTGTATCATTTTAGTTACATTTCTTATTTTTTCATTTTTATATCTATTATTTTTATTTTTTAAACTAAGACTAATCTTTAAAAAAGGAAAAAGAAATGATGATGAAGGTAGAAAGTAATTTAAAAAATTTAAATGAAAAATTTTAAAAAAATAAAAAAAAGGAAAATTCATCAAAAATAATCCCAACTTTCATTTTGTTGCCTAAAACGGGCTTTTCCGTTAAACCTCCGTTAGAAACTTAACGGCGACCCAAAACTGGCAAATTTCAGTAAAGTTGGGATTATTATGCATCACAGTGAAAGCTGGGATTATTTTTGAAAGACCGGGTAAAGTTGGGATTATTTTGGGTAATTTTTCCTTTATTTTTTTTATTTTTTTTATTTTTATAACAATCTTTAAATAAAATGAATTGAAAAAGTTGGGATTTTACTTTGTTTTGCGTGAAGTATACTTCATTTAGGGACGGAGGGAGTATTTTTTTACCCAGCGGATACTCAATTCTTAAATACTATCTCCGCCCCATAAAAATCTTCAATCTTTTCTTTTTTGCTCGTCCCAAAAAAACTTCTTTTTCCTTTTTAAGTAAAAGAATATGTGCCTCATAAAAAATTTCTTGGTTCTTAACAAATTTCAACCACATTTTTTTCACTTTCAACACTTTTCTTAACCTCTTTCAAAGTCAAACACAGAAGATTTTTATGAGACGGATGAGTAAATCTTTCGTCTGAAACGATCACTCGATCAGCAAGGAATCTGTACTTAAAGCTAGTATTTGCATTTTAGGGGTTCACATTTCATTGCGTTGAGGATTAGGTAATTCGTGGAGTTGATTTTCCTACTGCTTAGGCCACTAATGGCTTCCCTAACTTATCATCTCATGTTTGTTGGCCAAATCATTCTTGGGAATAATGCAGATAATCTTAAAATCTGGAAAATAAACAAACAGAACCTGACAAAGACACAGATTCTAGGGAAAACAAAAACGAAATATAGGGCAGAAAGAATATCTGCGGAGTAGCGTTTCAGATTTGGGGTTTTGACCATTGGATATGAAAATTCATAAATCAAAGAAACATCTAGTAATTCTGTTCCTTTTCTGGATAATTGAAACAAGACATAATTTTTGTATGGGAAGATTTTGGGGGAGCTTAGAACGAAATACCTGAGTGTGGATATGGAAGAATGCTGAACTGTCTGGTATGAGGCCTGAGCAGATGGGAAATTTCAGAGGAAACCCGAATTGGGCTCAATTGGGAAGAAGTTGGAATTATATTTTTATGATGTTGATGATGGATCGGTAATCCATAGTTACTTTTTTTTAAAAAATAAAACTAGAAATATTAGCCAAGTTAGAGCACTGGTAATGGTCATGAAGTCCCGGGGCTTCAAACTTTCTCTCTCTGCCACGTCAGCTTTAACTTACACCCAAAATTCACTGGAAATGGTTTTGAAGCCCCGGGGCTTCAAACTGGGGCTTCAAACCTTCATTTTTTACATTTTTAAATATACATCTTCTAAATTTAAATTTATAAATTTAAATTAATTTATTATTTTAATTAATCGCAATGACACTATTGCATAAAAAAAATTAAATTCATTATAAAAAAAATCTTACATTCATTAAAAAAACATTAAAAAAATTTACATTCATTAAAAAAAATTACATAAAAAAACAACAGTACAAAGAAATCACTAATTATTCGAACGACTAAAGATATGCTCGATCAAATCCGCCGTTAGTGCATTGTGAATCTCTCGGCTTCGAATTTCTTGGCGGTTGCGTCGTTTCTTTTCTTCGGCGATATCTTCGTACATAGGCACCTCCTCGTCCGGGTTGTATTGACAAATCGCAGACCCATTATCCTCTATGATCATATTATGAAGAATAATGCATGCGTACATGATATTCCTCATTTTTGTCTGAGAATAACATTTCGACGGACGATCTAGAATGTGCCACTTAGCCTTCAAGACCCCAAAGGCTCGTTCAATATCTTTTCTCGCCGCCTCTTGAGCTTTTTTGTAGGTTTGGCGTTTAAGACCCATTGGTTCGGAGAGAGATTTGACAATCGTGGAATAATCCGGATATATTCCATCAGCCAAATAACATCCGCGCTTGTAAAGCGTCCCTCTAAGCTCAAAAGAGGAGTCCGGTGCGGTCTCATTGACCCAATCGTCAAAAACAGGCGATTGATCGAGAACGTTGATGTCGTTGTTCGAGCCCGCGACACCGAAAAAAGCATGCCAAATCCACAAGTCATTCGAAGCAACAGCTTCGAG